GCTTACGTAAAGTTCAGTTACCAACCATGTAATTAACCCAGACTTCCTCTAGCCTCATTTCCAAGGCCAATGGGGAACTAGCAATGAGAGGAGTATGAAGTACAAAGTGACCATCCTAAAATCGAAGGAAAGAAATAGATGCCAGCCCTATTGAATGAGATGTGGAAGTTAACGTCCCATAAAACCATGCTCAAAGCGAACTAGTTATAGACCCACTTAATGGAAGGGAAGATATCTTTCCTCCTGAATACCAACAATAGTAGAGACTACGAATTCTGCTAGTGTCTTTAATAAGCTAGGAACTTAAGTACCTATAAATAGGCCTTAAAACGAAACTCCACCTAAATATAGGCAAGAAATGAGAGTTATAGAGGTTGTGGAGGCGAGGAAGAGGTCTGCTAGTATCTGACCTTTTTCCATCCCTACCTCGCTACAATACGTATGAGGATAAACCATTAAAGTCCTATGCTCTTCTTCCAATATATTAGAGCGACCTACATCCCACTGAGCTTTGTATTACCAAAGATGCCTAAATATAAAGGAAGAGATAACCCTACAAATCGCCTCAGTACCTATAAAACGAAAATGGGCTTAAGAGGTACTTCTTCAGCATTAAAGTGTAGAGTTTTAGACCTAACTCTAAATGGAGGGCGAAGAATTGGTATAACAAGCTTCGTCCCAGAAGCATCAGAAGTTGGCAAGAATTGAAGAGGTAGTTCATCACCTTTTTTGCGTCCTCAAGGCCAAGAGAGACCCCGATGCAATACTTCTATGATTTGAAGTAGTGAGCACACAATTCACTGAATAGCTACTTGACCTATTACTAAAGAGATGATCTATTGTGAAGACATCTTCGACACATAGGTTCTTTCGTCTTCAATGGAGGACTGAATATGAACACCCTATTTTAGATACGTTCGCAACATAAATCCAACAACATATAATTGGTTGGTAGAACAAATCAATGAATATAAGATAATAGATTACATGATTGACCATCGCAATAGAAGAGGCATTGGGCTACCTCCACCAAGATCAAAGGGATCACCAACTTCGAACTTGGTGTACCAGCAATGGCAGAACCAAAGATACCAACATGCCCATCTTACTTAATTTCATAGCTACGCCTCTACAACACTAAACACTTTCATAGTCCGATATATGATATGGTCACCCCAGATGATTATGGTTATCAAAGAATGGAGTCTCACTACTCTACATACTAAGAAGCTAGAAATAGTAGGCCCCAATATCTACCTTGGAGCAAGGGTGCCTTGGCCAATTACTGTAGTCTCCATAAAACTTATGTCCACAACAACGATTGTCCAAATGTTGTAAATTCCATCGACAACTTGGCCAGTCAATAAGGTTACTCCAAAGTTACTAGAAGACACGATCCTCATAGACCAATAAAGGGTGATCGCATTCCACCAATGAATGTAAGCTCATCACTACAATCATAACTTACCCAAAGTCACTGTAAAGGATAACCAACCCGAAGTCAGATAGTACTATATGTACTCACAAAGAAGGTGGCAAATTACGAGGTCAAAATGGTACCGAAAGATTATAAAATGGCCAATATGACATCCTTGAAAAAGTGAAAGACGTCAAAATGGTAGATATGCCATACAAAAGAGGAGAAAACAGTTGAAGCTTATGGAGAAGAAGTACACATGTCTGACTCACTGACAGTCTCAGGTAGAGGTACTAGAGAGCTATCTAGTAGACCCAAAGACCCCATGTGGGTGGTTCAATTTTGAAAAATTCAATGGAAAGATGCAAAGACTACTCTCAAGGAGTTCCTTCAATGGAACTTAGATGTCTTCACATGGAACTATGAAGAAATGGTCGACATCAGTCCTAAAATTTGTTGCCACACCTAAAGATTGACCCCAAATTTTACCTCCATGGGTAAAAATGGAGGCTCCTCAACTCAGAATGATATGAGGTAAAAAAAAAAGGTGAATAAGTTGGTAGCTGACGGTTTCATCAAAAAATTCCACTACGCCAAGTGGATCTCCAACCCAGTTTTAGTGTTGAAGCACAATTGAAAGTAGAGGATCTGCATAGTCAACTCAAACTTGAATCGAGTAAGTCTAAAAGATGGATTTCTTTTGTCAACGACTAACCAACTAGTCAATGTGACAAAAGGACATGAGCTACTAAGGCCCATTGTCATGCGTTTTCTACAACGTGAATTTATGCTGCAAGTGTACGGTGTCAAGTTTTGTAATATAATGATTGAGTTAAGAGTGTCAAACCCACACAGATTGTAATTCAATTTCTACCAAATACTATAATTGTATAACTTATATTTTATTTA